TTGTGTGTTCATGCTTCTACATGTTGTGTCTTACTTTACGGAAATGCCTCCACACAGAGGTTGCGCTGATGACCGACTTGGTTCATCTTGGGGTCGCCAATAACCTGCTTAACGGCACTATACCCACGGAGCTAGGCAGCCTTTCCGTGCTGGATACTCTTGAAGTCCACAACAACCAACTCACAGGTATGGGATTCAATGTGTCCTCGGAAAGCCAAGGGGTAGGTAGATGTCTGACCTTTTGTCTCTTCAATTTCACAACACTACAACTTCAGGAATGCTGCCATCCGAGTTGGGTCAACTTAGTCTCCTACAATCTTTTACATTAGGAAACAATCACCTCTCTGGCGCAATTCCTACTGAGGTGGGGCAGTGGACCTCGCTCGATCTTTTTGCCAGCTGGTGGAATCCATTTTCGGGAACACTGCCCACGGAGCTGGGGCTGCTCAGCACAGTTACCACATTTGAGGTTGCTGGCAGCAGAGTACGTGGCTCCATACCATCTGAGATTGTAAGTTGACAAGAAATGGGGGTTGCGTGTTCTTGCTTTTCTCCTCTGACTCTGACTTTAACTGCAAAACAGGGACTCATGGAGAACCTTACGGTTTTCTTCTTGGCCGAGAATAGGCTCACAGGCATGATTCCTACAGAGATTGGAGAGCTGAGTTCTTTGGTGAACCTGAATCTTGGAGCCAATCAACTATCCGGGGTGATCCCGAGTGCCATTAGTGGTGTGGCTGGTTTGCAACAGGTTCGGTTGTTTGAGAACCAGCTGACTGGGGCTGTGCCTTCATCTCTTGGATTGCTGGAGAAGCTGAAGCTTCTTTGGCTCCACAACAACAGTGGCCTCTCCGGTACAATTCCACCTACTCTATGCAACCTGACAACTTGGCCTGACGATGTTGAGGTGGATGGAGGCATTCATGTCGATTGTGAATTGGTGGAATGTAGCTGTGATGTTTGTGTTTGTCAGTGATCAAGGCAAAGCCCCCTGGTTGTCCCTTTTAGGCAGATTTGATGTTTCATGCTGCTTGCAGTGACTCCCCGTGCATGACAGCAAGAACA